TGTGTCCAAGGCACAGGTAAAAGCTTTCAGTAAATTAAGCAGAAAGAAAAATAGAGCTAAGATCCAGCAGATGTGGCAGGGTTGGAAGGTGGTGTTAGATCAGCCCAGCTCAAACTGCTGCTGTCTGCTCTCCCTCCCATGGCCCTTCACTCAGAATGAAGGTACAGGTTATTGATACAGGGAAAAAAATGAATTTATCCTCAGTTAATTTTGTGTGAACAACCTTGAAGATACAAATCTAAGTGTGTAGATTTACAGATACGGAGCCAGCTCCTGAAAACAGGGCTTTGGCCAAGTGCAGTGACAGAGAGAAACAAAGACAAGGATGTTCTGGTGAAAGGGGCTTCTCCCATGCACTGGAGAACTTGATGTTCTTGCTGCTGTAACTGTAGCATCATTATGAAATCATGCCACAGGTCTTTTGTTTCTTATTCTTAGTTATTTGTGTTAGATCTCCGAGTGACTTCAGTCAGCCAGCTTCCTCCCGCTGCAGGGAAGGAGCTTTCTGTAGATTAGGCTATACGAAATCACGTGGCTGCAGCACTTGTTCTGACTTGATCAAGTAGACCCTTCGTTTCTCTCATTGCCTCTAGTTTGAAGCCAGATGGGTTGGAGAGGGCGAGAAATCAGCATATAATGCCTGTGGATGGAGTCCTTGCTGCTGCCTTTTCCATTTCGGTGTGCAGGCTCCCAGCAGCCATAGGTCAGGCCCTAGCGCAGGGGCACCAGCTCTGAGCAGCTCTGAGCACCATTAGCCCAGCTGCTTTGCTCTGAAGCAACGTGCAGATCCTTGCCATTCATCCCGACTGCTGACCTAGGCCATTCTCCATCCTGGTCCCCCAAATTCCTCTCTGCCTCCCCTTCCCAGGCCCCTTGCACGCGCTCGGGGGCGATGTGCGGGGCCGCGCAGCGCGCTCTCCTGCCAGACACGCGGGCGTCCTGCCAGCTGCCCGGTTCCCTTGGGCTGACAAAGGCTGGGGCTGCTGCGGGAGGAAGCATGTGCAGCTCCCAAGGGGCAAAGGAGAGCGAGCACTTTGTATCACTTGACAGGAAGGCCTCTGCTTGACAAAAGAGCGCTGCTGACAGGCTCCGAAAAGCAGCCCCGGGGCTTATATTTCCTGAGCCAGCGTGACATCGCGAGCCGCAGTGCACAGGGGTTAAAGAGATGGGAGCATGAGCAGGATCCTCGGGTGTTTGCAGACCTCGGTGGGTGGGTTAACAACCTGTGCCTGGCTCCTGCTTCCCCAAAAAAGTGAATTTGCCACCCGTCCCTTCTAGCCTGCGCTTTCTGTGCGGCAGCTGGGGCATCGGGGATGCCAGCAGCTCGGGAAGCTCTGGCCAGACTTTTCTCTTCCCCCTCTGCTCCCCCCGCCCCAAGCCTCGCACAGCGGTGAAGTAATCTGTGACATTCAGACAGCGGGAAGGGGAAGCTGCTGCAAAATAAAATAACAGCGTCAGGAAGCGGCGCCGTGCTCTTTCCCGCTCCCAGCTGGGAAATGACAGCACTTCATTCAGTCGCTCAAAGCCCGTCGCGGGTTCAGCCTTTGCCGAGCATCTCTGGCTAATAACTTCCCCGCCTGGCCCCGCTCAGCATTGCCCACCCGGTGGGCTCAGGGCACTGGGAGGATGAGACAGGCGAGGTGCCAGCAGAGAGCCCCGTTAACAGCAGGCGCTGCACCGTAACACCTGGCAAAACAGTTGCTTGGGTTTATAGCTTCTGTGAAGCCCCCCGGAGGGTGTTTCTCTTACATTTTAATTCCTGCTGGTTACGTTTTGCAGGAAACCCAGACCTCCCCCCTCTGTCTTTTACAGTGGCTGTTCCTTCCACAGACAGGTCGCAGCACAGCGTTTCGCAGCCCAAATCCAGTGTGCAATGTGTCAAAGCGAGACCGCCCGAGGCAAGCTGACCACTTGGACAGGTGCCGTATACATTCGGAGAGAGGCTTTCCTCTCCTCTTCCCCTTCTCACGGCAAATCCAACCCTGGGTGCAAGGAACTGCCTCTCTGGACAGGTGGTAGAGCACAGGAGGCTGGTCCAGCATTTCATCCGTAGTTTCTCTTAATGTGCATGAAAGCACAACGAAGTAGATGAACCTTTCGTAATCTGTCCAAACAGACTGCCAACAGCCAGCTGAGCTGTAGCCACCAGTTTGTTCCTGGGGTAATATAATCCTAAAAAGAGAGACGCTTAGTTTTGTGGGTGCTCAGGTTTGTTAGCACCAGTCTGACAGTCCAAAAATGACGCGAAAGGGAGTGCGTGATAAAGTGGGGGTATCAACTAACTGTAGGCACCTAATTTAGGTGTCTAACTGAGGACTCTGAGTTGTGTCTACTCTGTCCACTAGCTACATAGGAGGGTAAAGATAGACAGTGTAAATAGCTCCAGACATTTGAGCTTATGGGGCAGCCTCTCGAGGGAAACAGTGCTGAAAATGCCATTGCTTTAATGGTCAGAACTGGGCTGGACAGTGCACCAGCAAAGCATTCATGTGCTGATGAAATGTGAGGGCTCATAGAGAAAGGTCTCCTCTATCATAATCCACCCCGGTTAATCTGAACCAGAAACGTTTCCCTCTCTTCCCTAATAGTAAGCAATTCTTCAAAAGCAACCTCAATTTTCCCTTCTGTAGTGCTCCCTCCATTTCTAAATCATCAGGGAAAAAAAGAAAAAAAAACCACAAACAACAGAAAAATGGCTTAGCACGTCAGACCCAGTGAACAGAGGCTGATGGCACTGGCTAAGCACCTTAACAGTGACAGCAAGAGTCACACATTTTAAATCCTCAAAAGCAGATTATATTCTTCGTTTATGTACGACTGGAATGTAAAAATAAGCAAGGCAAAGCCTGCCTTGTTAACTGGAGTCCTAAACCACAGATCTGCTCTGGATTTAATGCCTGTTCTCTTCATCTGAATCTGAAGGGACACAAAGGAGTCAGCGCCTGGTAATGGGCTTGAGGTTCCCGAGGAATTTCCGTCTACTGTTCAGGGAGCCCACAGTTTCAGCTCTGGTGGGCCTGCCTGTGGCTGTCCGCAAGCCCTCTGTAATCATGTGGTTCCTTTTTAACGTCGGCCCCTAAAAAACTGCTTTCAGCAATTAGAGAGCCGAAATGGTCGCCTGTAAACTCATGAGCCGCGTGCATGGCTGCGCTGCTTGGAGAGGACGGCCCCACTGCTGCCCTCCAAACCAGGCACTTGCAAGCCCTCTGCCAGGCCACGGTCAAGCCATCAGAGGGGAGGCATTTGCTCACTCGTGGTCCTTGTGCTACTGTGTAAGTGCTGGTGGGACGTGGAGGATGCCAGGTGTGTAGATGCTCAACTGCTCTTTGAGGATGGTGTGGATGAGTTGCTGCCTGATGGGGTTTAAAAAGGGTGGCGACAAAATATTGTGCACTGAAGACTCACCAAGCATTAGGTAAATCAGGTAAATAGCATTACCTGAGAGGTGATGGCATCTCATCGCTGTGCTGTCATCGCTGGGCATGTTGAAAGGAGTGTGACACCCCATGGCTTGTGGGGTGCAGCATGACCTTATGAAATGCAAAGCTGTTCCTACAAAACGCTGAGAGATTGTGCCTGCTGTAATTAAAGCTCTTCCCATCTATTGGCTTCAGAAATTGTCACTTCAGCCCTTCAGATGGCTACAGCCTTTAGTGGTTACCCCATCTGCATAGAGCTCCCTTGTGCTTGCGCAAGGATGACATAAATGTCTGTCCATGTTCCTGTGTTTGTTTGCTTTTTTTCTCTTTTTCTTTTTTGAGTTGCTTCTGGATGTTTGTGTTTTGCGCCTGGGTTTTATCACTGAGGCTCCTCTACTGTCAATCCTCTTGCAATTGCTTATTTTTCTTCCTCTCGCTGGATATTTCTTTTCCTCTATCCCACCGCAGTCTCCCCAGGCTTCTCCTCCTGCGGTACAGCTAAATCCTGAGAGAGCTGGACTCTTCTCCTCCATCCCGAATCAACAGAAAATATCTGCAATGTTTCTTGGCCAGGTGCACTAAAACAAGCCAAGGTATTAAATGATGTCACCATCTTTCAATAGAGCTGTTTGGTCTGTTTGCCACAGAAGCAAGACAGCAGCTGTGAGCTGTAAAGAGGAGGCCCCCGGCATGTATGTCTGGACCAGTGTGCCCCAAAGCCAAATTCCCCTGTACAGTGAGTCTGATTTTCAAGTGTCTGACCACTTAGGGTTGTACAAAGTTGCAGGAGAGGAGGTGTGTGCTGCCTGTGGGGGCTGTGTTCCTGCCTCTTCAGTCCGCCTGCTGCAATTTGTTTCATAGCCCTGTTCATCCTCCTGCTTTCTGCCCTATTGCTCCGTTTGGATGTGCTCTCTCATTTGCCCCACACCTCGTTTGATCAGGGCTCTGACCTGACCGGGACCTTGGGAAGCTGCCATGATGTTTGTGATGTAAAACCCTACTGTGCTAGCATGACAGCACTTCAGCCCGTTTAGCATCACTGTAAATGATTGCTGCAAAATGAAAAAATGCACTCTCTCTTTTCCATGTATTACATTAGCTCTGATATATATAGAAAAAAAAATAATCTGGGAAAGAAACTGTTTTCCATCAGAAAAAGCAGTCCCATCCCATTAAAATGAAAGTGCCTCACAGAGTACTGTGGGCTTTGCTGATCTACAGACCCAAACGATCCTCTTGAAAATACGGGTTTACTTTTAAGACAATTTTCACACTTTGTGTTTTGTTGAGCTGGATTTTGAAATTTCTGAAATCCTACTCAAAACAAAATGCCATATAATCATGGTGTAGTGCTGTCTGCCTCGATGTGGGCTCGGTGTTCAGCCCAGGTCAGCAAGCCGTGTCTGCAGATAAAGAGCTATTCTGGTAAAGTGAGCTCACAGTGGATGTGTAAATGCAATAAAACCTAAAATTTGTATAACGTATACCCGTGACTGAATCTTCTCTACCTAAGAATCAAAGTTTCTAACCTGTTTTTGGAAATGGTCCTCCTTAAATCAAAAAAATAAGACAAAGATACAAGTAAATAAATGGGCCAGTCCAACATGGAGGCCCTGGCAGCTCTGCCGTGGGTGAGCCTGGTGCTCAGCTGCAGATGATGACAGAGCTGAGGAGAGACACCACCCTCCTGCTCACAGCCCCAGCCTGTTAATCTGAAACTGCTGCATCCCAGTCTTGGTAGAGTTTTTAAATAGCAAGTCAAGAGGGAAGCCATGCTTGTGTGGGGACTGAGGGAGCCGAGTTTGAGATAGCGCATGGACTGGAAAGGCTGCCAGGACTGCAGCCCTCCTCTTCCCATCGCCCATGTGTTGTGAATAGCCCCTGCCTGTGTTTTGTCTTTAAAGGTGACTTTTTTTTTTTTTTTCAGATAAATGCCTTCTGGCATGGAGGTAGGGGGAGGAAAATTGGCAGAGAAGAGTCTGTGTTTCAGCCTTTCTGCTGAGGTTTGGGCATGCTGTAATGGCCTGCCATGAGGTTGGGTGGGTTGGTGGGTGAGGCGCGACATGGCGGGTAGGACGTGAGGTGATGGGTATGGCACAACGTGATGGGTAAGGTATGGCAGCAGGGAGCTCCTGAGGTGGCCCACAGGCCTGGTGTCCATCTGGAGGGCCAGTGCTTACAGTTAAGGGTTATGTGTGACAGGAGGGAGAGGAGGGAAGGTCTTGGTGACAATGTGAGCTGGCACCAGGTCCGCGAGTGATGACGAAAGCGAGGCTTTAAGGGCAAACGGGATGTCAAATGAAAGCAGGATTTCTGAAAGACAGACGTTAAAGCCTTCTTTTCCAGTGCTTGCAGCCTATTTGGCTTGTCAGGTGTCCTACTCTTTCATTTAAAGGGTGTTTGCTGTATTTGCCCCATCACTCCAGCAGAAGCTGCACTACTCTGTGAGGCCTCAAAGAAGCACCCCTGGGCTCATGGAAGTGGGGTTAGTCCCTGGTCCTGAAAAATAAGGTGGAATGATTGCCTAAAATGGTCCTTTCCAGACCTTGAGTAGATCATGGTAAGCACTGCATGCCAGCCTCCTGCAGTCCTTGAAACAGATTTTAATTCATTTCACCCACTTTCACCTTCTGGAAGTTCCCTCACTTGTTTTTTACCCATCCTGAGGGTTACCTGGGACATGCAAGCAAGGCTAAGGTGGGTGCTGGAGCATATCTGTTTATTTCAACATAAGGGGATACGGTGGTAGGTCTGGTGTTCCCCTTGGGTGCCTCTAAGCCCCACTGCTGGCTGAAGTCTCATGTCCTCTGAGACATGAGCTGTGTCATTTGAAGTGTATAGCTGCTTCCGTGTACCTATTTGGACCAAGCAGATCAGAGGAAAACCTTCAGCCAAGAGTGCTCTCCTCATTTGTTAGAGCCTTGACAAGTTAAATAGAGGGAGAGATTAAAAATGAATGGGACTTATGTTGGAAAGATCTACTCTGGAGACATTAAAGAAAAGGGAGGTAAGTCAACAGGAAAGTCACCTGCCTAATGGGAGGAAAATCTGAATATTGGGAGTGCTGTTGGTGCCCTGGTTCCCACCTGAGACATGCCTGGTGGATATGGCATTGCCCTGCTCAGGAGGAAGCTTCTGCCGTGGATTAGCACCATCATTATAAATGCCTTGACAAGTTTGCCTTTCTGAAAAACAACATGAAAAAAGCGGTCCACTTTAACAAGTTGCATGCAAAGCAATTAATGGATCCTTTCCATGTGCTGACAGATTTCATATGTCTGTCTGCCTGTCTTTCTCTAGTTATTAATTGCTTAGGCTGCTAAGCACAAGTTTCTCATTCATTATCTTTATTTATCATCAATACTTGTCTGTTGGTATGCTTAACTGTTGAATTGAGCTAAAGTCTCACCGATTCCTGGCAGACTTATGTATTACTTGCATGAGAACATACTTCTGCTGTCTGTTTAAATTAGAGTGAATATGCAGTCATGTTAATGACAAGATCAGGATGACTCCAGCTTTGTGTCAGTGTAACAGCAAAATTTGGCCTACATGCTATCTTTCCTCTTGCATAGGAAGTTTTTTTGGTAATTGATGGACTTTTTTGTTTCTTTTTCTAAAGCATTTACTGAAAAAATGAATTCCATTATAAGGCTATTTCTTTAGCAAGGAAGTATGTTATAAATAGAAAGCAAAATTTCTCATTCCAAGAAAGCAGTGCAAATCTGGACCACATCTGCTGACTTCAGCAGAACTGTACCAGGTTTACACAACACACGTTGCAGCTGGACTTCTGTTGTGTATACACAGAGAAAGTTAAGTCATTGTTAGAGTTGATGGGAACGTATTTGGGAAATGAAGCTTTCCTGAAATTGTTTTTTGCACTTGTGTTGAAACCCATATACTTGGGAAGAGGTATAAGTTTAAGGAAAACTTAATCAGGGAGATCCAAAGGGAGAAGCAAGAGGAAGAGCAAGACAATGTGGTCTTCCTCATCTTGAGTTCAGGTTGCTGGATGGGATGTGAAGCTCCAGGTTCAAATCACTATTACATAGTATTTATATAGTTCACGAGGTTGCAGATGGAAGACAGACACGTGGATCTCATGCTTCCATGATGAAGCGTGGGGAAGTTGGGCTTTGACAAAGGTTCCCTGTGTTGCTCTGTGCACTTCAGGCATTTTTTTTCAGTCACCTGTTCCTGTGCCATGCTGTGTTGCCCTGCTAGCTGTGCTGATCAGGTTGCTTGGTAAATAGGATCAGTGAAATTATCATGTTTAAAAAAAATAATGAACCCCTCCCCCCCAAACCGAGACAGCAATAATAACCCCCTTGAGATTGATAACACTTCCTCTCCCCTGTTGTTTACTCCGTGCAGATTTTAAGCATGGCAATGCAGGGGCTGTCTCCGAGGCACAGAGAGCCTCTGATCTCACTGGCGTCCTTGGAGTGATGTGTTATAAACAGAAAGGAAGGAGAGAAGAGCCCAGGCCTCATCATCAGAGAGCGCACGACTATTTTTGCAGGCAGGAAACCTTACCAGACCCAATAGCTTGGACCTGGATGTGCTTCTGAGAGGTAGCCAACCTTTCCTAGAACCAACCTTTTGCACTCTTGCTGTTGAAATCTCCATGCTGACATCCTAACCCTGCTGGAGTGCAGCCTTTTCATTTCTTGGATGTGCCAGCAAGCTCTTTATTATTTTTTTTTTTCCCCTTCCCACAGTCAGTCTATTCAGTCCTTCTTAGAACAGGCTGTCCTGCTGGGACGTTTCAGTGCAATTAGATATTAGGTGTCAGGAGCAGATAATGGGCAAACGCCTATCAGGGGAGATGGCACTTAGCTAATCTCTGGCTGTCTGTATCTAACAGGCTATTTCGGGGAAAAACAACAACAATGCGAGAAAGCTCCCACTGTAGAGTCTGTGTCTGAGACTGGCTTCTGGGGCTTCGGGGTTGTGTCGGCATTTCCACCCCGGCTTCACTTGGTGCTTTCCCAGCAGCCTTGTTTTCACAGCTGCCCCATGACCGGGCAGGAGCCCGTAAATGATCGTAGCCACAGCTCTTGCAAGACCTCGTTGTTGGCACATCTGTTTTCTGCTAGATCCCTTTGGTGTTGCCTTGGTTGTTTCCCCAGGCAAACCAAGAACCTAGGTATGGAAGCGTGTGGGAAAAGATGAGCTATTAGGATAATTAGCATCGTCCGTGAAACCTCGACATCTTAGATGCCTGTTACATCAGAAACATTCAGGGTTGAAGTCACATCTTTAAGCATTTTAGTGAGCTTGAGCACTTGACTGTGTATCTCCAGCATCTGCCTGGTTTAGGTGTCTTACATCATCTTTCTGGGATCTGTTTCAGCAGCAGATTAAAAAATAAAGTTAAATAAAACCTAGGATGGCTGATATTACACACTTGGATTTTTTTTTTTTAAGTGTTCTCTGCCTGAAACTAATTAGCTCAGTGCTAATTCGCCCTAAGTAGTGAATTGCTAGGGTGGCAGCTAGTGGATGCTGTCATTCAGACACCAAAATCTAGTTCCTGGTGAACTGAGAGCCCAGGTGAGCCTCTCCAGCTGACACGAGTGTTGTTACTCTGAAGACTTGCCCTGGGTACCCCAGCTGGTTGCAACAGGAGAAAAAGCAGAAGCTATATGTATATGAAGGCTTTGGGAAAATAACTTTAAAGAGAAATAAAAACTCCATCTTCCTGCTCACTGCTGTCCCACACAAAAAAAAAGAAAATCTCACCATGTAACTCCTGAATTACAGGAATTCCTGGAGCCCCAGCAAACTCTGCCTAATCTCTCCCAGTCCCTCACGTATCGCCTCTGAATGTTTTCAGTGAGTTCCCAGACCTCGTGCTTTCCTGCTCCTGATAACTAGCCATTGCTGGGATGCCAGAACCACTGCACTGCATAGTTCAGCTATCAACAGAAATATAGTGAGATAAAGGGGATGGTTAATACCAGAGTGTCTGTGGTAATGCAGATGTCAGAGATACTCAACTGGCTTTCCCGGACAAGTTCTTTAAATGGGTCAAGTTACTTTGGGAAAATAGTATCTAGCTCTTTTGAGAGTGTGAACATCCATAAGAACATCATGCAGACATTTCCTCCTGTTGAAGAGTCGGGCATCCATCAAATATATCCATAGTACTTCAGAGTCTTGGCAAAGTAATGCCACCTCATCTGGGGCTTTCCGAAGATAGCCTCCCGGGCACTGAGCGGGTTTGGAAAGCTCAGAGTTGCGACTGAAGATGAAAAGCCGGCCTGAATGCAGGGCAATGAGTTCCTTTGAGAATTAAGCCCATAAAAAAAAAATGAAATCTGACAGAGGAGCTGAAGGATTTGTTGCGATGGATGAGCAATTGTAGGATCACAGATGCCAAAGAGGAAGAATAGGGCTGTTGGGTCTTCCTGCCAGGTCAGGGCTGTCTAGTCCAGCAACCTGGTCAGTTGTTTCGAATGCGGGTTTCCATTGCTTCCCTTCTGAGACCATTTGTGTTTCCTGATAGGAAAAGGTAGTAACAATGAGATCTAACTCCCAGGCTATATTTTTCTTCCATCTAGCTGCTGGCTAATGTTCTTAATCCTTTTAATGGGAAATACATATTCCAAAAAGAGGGAAGGGATTTCTTGGGGACCCTCGGATGATGTGCCGTTGGCAATGGTGTTTTCACCAGCGTGAAGACTTTGCTTCTAGCTTTGGAAATATCTTCGAGCTATGGTGAACTCATGAGTGAAATGAGGGTTCATCCCTCCTTCTGAATCTCATCAGTGGGATGCCCAAATAACCCTGCGTAATGCACTACTGCATGTGTCAGAGCAAATGTGCTCATATTGTGTGGAAGAGCAGGGTAGAACGTGAATTTGAGCTAAAATTTCTACATTTGAGACTGACACCCACTGAGCGGTGGTGGTTTGAGCACATTTGGGAGTTTATAGCTGCTATGGGCATGGATTCAGAGGGTGACTGGAGATCCTCATGCTGGAGAAGTTCTGGAGAAATGGAAAATGATACTGGTTATACTAGCCCAGGATTTTATCCGTGGGTCTCTGGATCAGCCCCTGGGACTCTTATTCCTTTGCACTGAGTAGGGGAAGCGGAGGCTGCATTTACTCCTCCATTCATGGGGATGCTGCACGTCACCATTTATAGAGGGGGATTGGTCTCAGCTGTGAAGGCAGCTGCCCGTCTGCCCCTTCTGACGGTTATTTAATGCTTGTTAAAGGAACTCACCCTTTAGTTTAGATTCAGCATTTCACTTGATAGCTTTCTGGGCAGCCACCGGGGCTGGGAAAAGGGAGGGAAGAGGAATCCCAAGAGCAGTAGCAAGACAGAGGAGAATAGCTGGGGAAGGGAAAAAAAAATATAAGGACATTGTTTCTAACAGCACTTAGTGGCCTAGATTTTCTTTTCACAGCTATTTCAAAAGTCTGCTTTATTGTAGAGCCATTCAGCTTTTATTGGTATATAGTACACTGGGTAGCAGCAGCCACTGTTGTCTGCACGGCTCTTAACATGATACTCTGCCAGATGGCAAGAATATAAACCTGCGTTTGTACTCCGGGACTGATCAAAGTTTTTTGCTGTTGTCACCCCTGTAACGTTGTCACAGATGTAAGGCTACTACACCCTGGCTCTCATCCCCGCTACCTCCCTGTGTAAATGCAGTACAGTGCCCCTTTTCATAGCAATGTAATGCTCACATTCCTTAAATCCCAAGGATAACCCCGTGCAGGGGAGGATGCACCGCGAGGTTTCACCAGGAGGTTTTTAGGCAAGGTTTGTGCACAAGTGAGCACAGGGAGTGAAGCTGGATGGGGGGGGAGACCTCTAGTAGATGGAAATCAGCAGCCCAGCTACGTAACTGCACCGAGCTACTCCAGGGCAGAACCCAGCCTGGGATCTCAGCAGGAATCCCGAAAAGGATTTGGGAATGATTTAAAAAAAAAAAAATGCGCAAGGCGATGTTCAGTGGTTTCGGATTAAGAAAATTTGGTGGAGGAGAGAAGCTGCCTTGGGAGGGGGAGTGGGACTGTGCCTCTGTAATGGGCAAAGAAAAATCCCACCCCGTGCAGGGAGGAGATGCAGGGGTCCTGCTCCCTGCAGGTTGCTCAATTTAAGCAGAAGAGGGGAGAGCAAGCATCATGAGCCGTGTTCTTCGCCCTGCCCTCTAAAGAAATGACCTGCAGCCGAGAGGGAGAGGGAAAGCAACGTCCAGAGGTCTGTAGGACTACTTCTTTAGATGTTTTTTACAAGACTGCACCCTTGTAATCTCACCTGATGCTGCTGGACCAGGGCCTCGTTGTGTGGCAAGGGGAGATGATCCCCTTCACCATGCTGCCGTGTATGAATCACCTCCAGGAAAACACGGCTGATGCATGTTGTAAAAAAAAAAAAAAAAAAAAGCAAAAGCCACCAGTTTTGTCCTCCTGACGTTCCACAGAAGTGGCAACTTTTCCCCTCTCTCTCTCTTTTTAAATTTAAATGGCTTGGGTTTTTCTCACATTGATGGGGAGGAGGGGAGAAGCAGCCTGGTTTGGGATGATTTATGGCTCCAGGGTGGCTAACATTTTGGCGAACCTTGCAGGAAGAGCCCCCGAAGCATGCCAGCTGTAATCTGCCGAGCTTTCGAAAGATACACTCAGCAAGATAACGTTTTATTTATCCTTGTACAAACAGCCTGATGGAAAATGTGCACGTCCCAGACAAGGAAATTCTCCCTCCTCCCTCTGCCCCCTCGCCCCAGTTCAGGCTCCCCGGCAGCAGCTGAGCTCTCTTACTCCTGTAGTCCCCGACAGCTTCAAATTCACTTCCCTCAGCGCCTTCAAAGGAGGTTTTGATAAATGCATTACACTTTACAGCCAGCCAGGGCTCTAATTGCCAGGAGGATTACGATAAGCTTTTTTCTTGTTGTTTCAAAACAATCTGGAGGACGGCGTGCCCTCCTGGTGCAAAGCTCCCCCCCAGCCCAACCGTAGCCGGGCAGGGAGGAAGCAGCAGGGTGCAATCCTCACCCTGATTATTACGCTAAACTGGGGATTATTTGATTATAATCCAACCGAGGCGGTATGGAGCTCGATGCAGACCTGCTGGTGACCTGCCCTCGATGGGGGACTTGTGCCAAGGCAGCTTCTCCGTCAGCCGCCAAGCACCCTGGCACCTCCGGGGGCTCGGGAGTCCCAGCACCAGACCAGCCTCGTGGGCCAGCGAAGTGGGAAACTTAAGAGGTCTGTCAGCCCCTGGGAGCGATATCCTTTCTCCAGCCATGCAGTTATTTGTGCATCAATGCTTTTTTTTTTCTTTGTGAAAGGACGCTCTTGCTCCTGTGCTGCTAAGTTTAATGACCAGGGTCTGGTTAAAAAGTAACGCAGGGGAAAAAAAGTAGAGCTGCCTTAAGTTGTGATCTAAAAATAGGGAAACCTATGCCATTAAATTGAGAGGATTTAGAAGCATAACCATAAAGCCAAGAAGAGTTTGCCAGGAGCTATCAAGTGACACAGATTTCAACTCCCTGCTTCTCCTAATTTTCTTCTTTTAAAGGTGAACCGAGCAGGCTTAGGTTACTATTTTGCTGCTTTTCACTACAAACAGAATCCAGGGGGTTCCCACCGTGATGGATACTGTTAGAGTTTCTTTTGTAATTGTTATTGATTTTATTAGTAATATATTTCTAACTCTTTACCTGTCAGCAAAGAAAATGCTTTGTAAGGACTGCTTAACCCTTAAATATCCCAAGATGGGATTGATACATACACGACATGTATGGTTACTGTTCTTGGATTTAACAAATTACCATTTAAATCTCAAAGCTGACTGATCTGAGAGGAATCCCTTCCATCTTTGCCATTACCTGCCCCTCTGTCCTCCTGCTCATTGATAGTTTCAGCATGGCTCAGCGAGATGCTTTCGGAGGAGATGAGTTTGGTTTTGTTTCCATTTCTCAGTAGGGTTGGCAGGAGACAATGGAAGCCTTGTTCCAGCATCACCTTTTTGTGTCTAGAAAATTGATTTTCATCTCGAAGGCAGATTCCCAGTTAGTTGGCATCTTTGATTAATCAACGTTGGTTTTTAATGATATTTTTTTGGCTACTTACCTACTTTTGATTGGTCCAGGCTTCAATATTTGCCCCAAAGCCCTATATACTACTGAGATTGTACACATGAGCTTGTGTTCACCTCAGATGACACAGTGCCAGTCTCAGTATTGCTTTGTATGAAAGAGTATCAGGTGGCTTGCTATCAAGGAAGGCCTCATTTCTCCTTTTTTTCTAGACAGTCTCTTTGAATCAGGTGGGCTCTGTCCCTTTTTCACATTCTTGAGCATGAACAGAGCTGTCCAGTACGCCAAAAGGCAGCCTGACAGACAAACAAGGAAATATTCAGGGAACTTTGAAGGTGATGAAAAGCAAAAGTTATTCTAGATAAGCTCTGGAACATACTGCCATGAGATAACACCATGGGCACGTGCTGGTTGGGATTAAAAAATATGTAGATATGTTGATAATGGGAATATCTGCTCTCATGTTACCCTGTTCTTCTTTTTTAAGGGATGCTAATCCTGATGCTTTAAAGGCATATGCTGAATACTGAACATACGGTTATTTAAGGACTGCTTTACTGGTGTATGATGGTATGCTATGCAGTCAGTGGTTTCCTAGTGTGAGCATAGCTGCTAAAACAAAGCCATACTTCAGCCCACACAGCTGAAGCATCTTCTGAAAACCAAAGATAAGTGCAGGATTTCTGGTACATGTTGTATATGCTGGACGCTCCGGAGTGAGGCTGGGATCGCTGTTAAGGAGCATCATCCTTACAGGACTAACACCCTCCAAAGACTTACAGCTTCCTCCTGGATGTCTGGAGGCAGAAGAATCATGTGTCATCCCATTTGGTGTTTCTGGCTTTCCCTGGTGCATTGGGGTGAACTCACCATCAGCTTCAGAAGCACCCCTCCAGCCCCCATGCTTGCAGCTGGTTGTTTAACTGGAATTCAGCTGGTAGGGCAGACAGATGCTGCTGTCCTAAACATAAGCTGCTGTCCCCATTAAACATGCTGTATGAGCTAAACCACTGCTGCATGCATGGGTGAAGTCTGAGTGTTTTCAGTGTGCTATAAATGAAAAGGAAACAGAAGAAACAGCAGAATGACCTGGCTGAAGATTTTGGAGAATGGTTCAATCTGAATTGGTAACTCTACCTTTAGTCAGGTATATTCTGCCAACTTCAAAACTGGATGGGAGATGCCAGAGGCTTTCTATAAATTTCAGTGGGAATTGGGTCAATTTTCTGACCCACCACAATCTCCCTCGAGCTCCTTTAGCTACTCTCTTGTTTCAGAACAATCCCATTTGTTTTTAACTCCCCCTCCCTGTCCCCATCGACCCAGCACTCCAGTTTATTTAGCAGATGTTGGCCTAAACTTTTGTAGCAAGGGTAAACAGAGCTAAGGTCAATCAGAGAAACACAGCACCCCAGGAGAGCTGCTGCTTTTCACCGCTGCTGGCGAGCCTGCGTCCAACTGGAATTGGAGGGAAGCTGAAAAGACGTGGGTAGGATTAGTCCCATCGAGTACAGGAGGGTTTATATGTATAAAAAAACGGTCACACAGTACAAAAGCGTGCAACCCTAACATGAACTGGGTAAATCTATACTCTCCTCATGTTTCCTCCCTTTGAAGACCTCGCGTTTTGTACTCTCAGCGATTACCATGTGAATCAGTGATTTTTAAAAAAAAACCACAAACCCAGCATCTTGATAAGAATCCGTTTGTGCTTTACCAGCCCATCCTATAAGGTAACCAGAGCAAGGTTCTTTCACTCCAGCCATTATTGGCAACTCAGATTATGTTCTTCAAAGTCTGTCTGTCTCGTTCAAACACAAGGTCCGTATCTTGGCTGAACATTAACGTTACCTGATAGGCCCTATGTCCAGCTCCACCTTGCCCTTCCCAGCAGGTTAGGCTTTATAGCCGAGTCACAACGTGAGCAGAGGGAATAAAGAGCCTTTGTGCTCCTCTTGGGTCCATCCCCTGAAGCTGATCAGGCACCGGGATTGATTACCGGTCAGGTAAAAGACCCGATAACCTCCCAAATCTGTATGCAGACCCCTTTCTGGCTGCTTCCTCCTCTGATTTGCATTTCAGGCTTCTGTCTCGTTTTGGAAACGATTTGCTCTTTCTTGCAGTGCGGTGCAAACGGGAGGAAGTTAACATGAGAAGAGTCAGCAGGGAAGGCGTGAGCTTGAAGGCCACTGTTTGGCTACTATACAAACAGGAATTCAGGCCATCACCTGTTATTTAAAGCATAGCAATGACTAGCTCAGCTCCTCTTCTTCACAACTACTAGGAATCAGCATTAATTTATCCATTTATTAAATGTATGTAGATAAAATGACATTAAATTATTAAAGTTGCAAAACAAAGAATCGAAGAAAACATCCTCTTCTGGCTTAATTCAGCATCTGCATGCATATGCCACGTGATACAATTTCTAATCAGAAGCTCTCCTACCATTTTTCTCATAAAATTACAGTTCCCCATAAAAATGTAATTACATGTCCCAAGCATGCGAAACCTTAGCCCAAACAGTTCTGTTAGGCACAATTACGAGCAATTTAACTTCTGTCATCTTCAGTTTTAACAACCTGATGATTCTCACCCTAACCACAGAGACTCGTGGTAGCTGTTAAGTCCCATGTGGAACTCTGCAGTTTCTTCTGCTTGGGATAGGAACAGCCTGTGAAGAAATTCTGTATTAAAAGGGTGTTTTTGTTGTTGTTGCTTTTGGTTTTAATGTTGTTTCTTTTATGTCAGCCTCAGCAAAGTGGTGAATTTTGTTCAGTGGCTCTTCTCTCTCTGCTCTGCTGGTGTGTGAGTAGAAATGAGTCCAGTTTGAGGTAAAGGCTGGGAAAGTGGGACTGTGCCCATGCTGTTGGTGTCCGCGTCTGCTGGAGGATGCTCGCCTTCATGTGAAAACGTGGAAAACTCGAGGAAATTATGCTTCTCCCTCCTCCATTCGGGAAGTGACCCACCAGGCCCCAAATCCCTCACTGCTGCATTATAGGAGCTGAGAGGAGAGGTGAAGCCTCTTCTCACCTAAACCCAACAATTATAAACAAGCCATTTAGCCGGAGCATAAAAGATTGTATAAATGCAAGTATGCCTTCCCTTAGGGTTTTCCATCAGAGGGGCTGTTACCCTGACACCCAGCCCTGGGGAACAGCCTGCTCTTTTGTGAGCGATTCCTAAGGGAGGTCTGAGGAATTTTGAAGCTGTCAGGCTGTAATACCCTGGTTTTAGCTTTTTCGAGAAAGCGCACTGTTTTCCAGAGACTGAAGCCAGACTGCTGGCTTAAAGCTGCTACATTTCACCAAAAGAATGCTGATTATTTCACAGTCATGCGAGCGCCTGACCGGTAAAACGTGTGGGCAGTCTGTGATTTTTTTTTTCCTCCCCCCCTGTTTTTTCACCGATTTGGCTTCTTAATACAATGCCTGAAGATCTTTTGAAAGGGCCAGAAAAATCTGCTGACGGCTCACGCAGCTGATTTGACCCAGAGCGCCTGCTTGGCTGAGCAGAAAGATGACACTGCAGCAAAAATGTTACTTTAAGGGAAAAGAAAACACGCGCAGTGCTCCTGCTATTGTTCCCAGCCTCTGTTCTGGTGCCAAGCTCGGCACTTAGGAAAACACAGAGGTACCAGGTTTTAACCTTTCGCCTGCTTCCCGCAGGTGTTATCTTTTGCTCTGAATGGGCAGGACGAGGGCCACAAATCACGTTTCTAGCCTCCAGCAGCCCCGCTGGCTACGAGGAGCTTTTTAGCGGGTTTCGCAGTGAGCAGCTTAACGAGATTTTCAGCAAAAAGAGGCATTTGCTCAGTCCTACTCTTTCTAGGTTTTCAGCTGGTGTCTTCTCTTGCAGTGCTGACAAATAGTGGGGGCGGTTAGGATATCCAGCCTGCGCTGAATAGGAGCCATGGAGCAGGCAGGTCTCTCTGTTTTTGTGATTTAACTACATTTCATCACTGACAGAGGAGTTGGAAAGAAATCTGAAATGACTTTAGCGAGGTTCCCGTTTAAATAGTGATTGTTTCGAGCGAAAATGGTTCGGGCAAGGAGAGCAAAGTGCTCTGACTTCAAAGCTTGTCATTGTGGAGAAATCTGATGGTGAGTGGTCACGCATACCTGCCCGTCGCTCCTACGGCAGCCAAGCCAAGGGTGCTGGCAGGCAGCCTGGGCGTGTTCCCCTTACAGTCTGGGTGAGAGATCCTCAGCTGGTGCAAATCACGATAGCTGTGTTTAAGTTGGATTTTTTTTTAACTTACTGGCTGCACTGAGGGCTGGACTCCACTTATGAGCCTGTGGGAGCTTCCTAAAAGCCTCCGATCCTGTTATTTGTTGAAATATTAGAGAAATCCTTTGAGTCCAAGAAAATTGGGTATATGTATGAACAAGACTTGCACTCGTTCAGTTTGCCAGGCTGCCTTGCTGTCCCTTTGCACTGAAGAGGACACAGATAAATCCCTAGGTGGACTGTGTGTGCCCTTCATATCTGCCACAAGAAACCGAACCCACTCATGTAGCCCAGCTGTAGGGACGTTTTTATGAAGACCTACCATGTCATGTTCTTGTAGCTCAGCTTGGTCCTATCCTGCATCACTGGGACAGGGCAATCAGAGCTCAGCAACGTGTCTCCCTGTAATTTTTGAGCAGTCTTGGTGCTTAGCTGGACATATGGAGGCCACGGGCTTTCTTCTCCTCAGTAGATGCATGTCAAGTTCACAGGTGTGAGCACTCCTGCCATGTAGTTTGGGTCACTCCATCTTGCAAGGATGAGCCATCAGTGATGACAAACGGGTGCCTCTAAGTATTGAGAAGGTGCCTGGGAAGCAGGCAAATTATCTCAGAAACATCTCAACTAACTCTGGTCAAGAAAACCAGCTTTATTTGGCCTCTCATCTGTTGATTTGGTGAGCCTTTTTTTTGGAAGATGTGGAAAGTTAGATGAGATGAAAATTGGCAGTTCAAGTCTGGAGATTGCTTGTTTGTCTATGAGTGTAATAAAAATGAAAGGCATTTAATATTCATTAGGTGTTTTTGACAGCTACTCACTTTTAGTCTATCTGTGAATATCCTCTTGTAAAACTGAAAGCGATAGGTGTTGGTGAAAGTCCACTGCCACAAGCACTGCTTGGTGCTTGTGTCAGCAAGGGAGCTGTGTTATTTTGCACCACTCATGCCGTATGACAAGTTTGAACCAATTCAGACCTTTCTGCTAGTAAAAAGATGCTCGGCCTCTCTCTGAGTGCAATGTCACCAGAAGTGCCCAGAGTGTTGGAAGTGGTGTGTACACAGCTGAGAAGATGTTACAGGAGGAGGCTGTGGCTGTGGCTCTCCAAAGGCTGGCAGATCTATCTCCAGTTGCTTTTTTTGAGATTTAAAAAATAAATAAAATACTGTTCTGCAAAAAAAAAAAAAAAAAAAAAAAAACTTATGCATTGGAGCAAACCCAGAATGTTTAACTTTTTTTTTTCTTTTTTCTTTTTTTTTTTTTTTTTCTCCCCACAAGATAGAATGTCACCCAACTATTCCTTTTGGACTGAAAATCTTGGCCTTTCCATTCCTCCTGGCCACTGTGCGAGACCACTAAAGCATGCAGTTACTTATCCCTATTTCTTCGGGATGAGCTACGCGTGGCCATCCTGGCAGTAGGAGTTCAGCTGTGCCTGTGCAACCTGGCCCAGATCCCACAGAGCCCTTCTCTGCTGTCAGTGATGACTTTAGGGTGAAGCTCTACCCTGGCTTTTGCCAGGATTCTCCTTGTTTGTGGATCCATTGTCGCTTAACCCCTCCAAATCATATTTTAAGTACACACGAAGCTATTTCCCCCTCACCAAGATAAATCTTGTGGGCCCGCTGGCTGGCTTGCTCTGGGTTGTTATTTTCTCTGTTGCTGGGTTTGTTGTCAGGTCGTGCTAACCTGACCATGGATGTATGTGTACGATGAAGGAAACATGGGGCTGATTCTTCAGCTAAGGTTCATAGCTGAGTTGCAATGGCTTAGCTACACCAATTTTCTGTAAGTGAGCATTTGTGTCTTTTAAAGAGACCTGGCCCCTAAGGAAAGAGTTTGCTGATACATGGGCCTGCAGCCAAGGCTGGACCAACCTGCTGGGGAAGGGGTGATGGGAAAGAAAGGGAGGAGAGGGAAAGAAGTCAGAACTTCTAACCAGAGGTCTGGTGGTGATGCTATCTAGGACCGATTTCCCTTAGTGAAAATCTAACCACTTTATTTGAAAAAAAAAAAAAAAAAAAAGGAAAAAAAAAGTCAGATGAATTGCACCATCTCCATTAGACAGATGGGGAAATGAGGCAGAGAAAGATGAAAGGACTTTGGCCTATTCATCCCACCGGGAAAACAACAACATCCAGGTCAGCCAAGTCCCTGTCTTTTTTCCTTCACTCCTCAGGCCGTGGCTTTCCAACTACCTTGCACCTGTGTAAATAGCCAGGCAGGTGTAAAGCTGCCGTGGCCATCCGCTGGGGAGACGGCTGCACTCAGAGCCATCCTCAGAGGGTACTTGTAGCCTTCCTTGTTCTTCTACCAGCCCCTTGGGATGGCCTGTAGCCTCCCCAGAGGAGGAGGCATTGCTCTTGCAGCGTAAAAGCCTGTAGTCAGCACAAGAGATTTCATGCTCTGTCTCTTGAAATCCAATATGAAGCAGTTGCCTTCTCTCTGTCCCACAGGCTCGTTACGCGGCTCCGTGTGTGGCCTCTCCCCGTAATTAACCTGAGGGGGTTACTTTCCTTTTCTAATTTGTAGGAAGTGGCTCATGACATCTGTTGCAGCCCTGAGGCTCCTTCCTGCAAACCTTTAGCTGTTTTTCGTTGAAAGAAAAGAGGTGTAACGATTAATCAACGATTAACCAACTCAAGTCCTGGCTTTGAAAATAACATCTTCCAATTGCTCAATAAAAACTACTTGGGAGCAGGGAAGAGTGAGTATGGCTTTTTATAGGCAACCATTGGCTTAAACCACAGGCCTGAACAACCTCATTTCTCTTCATGTTGACTCTTCAGGAAAATCAATCAATCAATCAATCAATCAATAAAAATCAACCTGGAATGAGTTTTAATGTGCTTTGCTTTATTTATGCTGTTTTATGTCAAAGCATTTTGGAAGCCAGAAACATATTTCCTGGATGTAAAAGTCAAAAGGGATCATTTGGATTCTCTTATTATAAACAGGGTTTTTGGGTTTTCCACTGTGTTTTGTATGTAGGTGGTATTTGTGCAAGGAAAATGCCCAAAAGAGACAGAAGTATGTGCCAACCCAGCCTGTTCAAGGTGTCTCTGCTTTGCTTCTTGAATCTCTTAATTATTACAAAGTCAGTATTCCTCAGGCCAGAGAGAGAAAGGCTACAGAGGGGAATCTGTGCATGCACCAGAGCTGTGAGAAAATGTGAAAGTTCTGTTCTCACTGATTTATAACAGGGCTTGAACTGAGATTTTTGTTATCTAGGCTGCTGCTCTTCTGGGAAACATAATTTTCCATCCTGGACCTAAAAAGTTTTTTAGAGATGCAATTTTGATATACTTTCACCCCAAATTTGCACTTTTCTTCAAGTTGGCATCTTCTGACTGAAACACAGGCAGCTGGAAAATTGCTGCGCTGGAATCCCACGCGACCTCTTGCACAACGGGCTTCACAGAACCTCATGTGGTAATTTCAGCATTATATCTGTCAGGCATGGAGCTTGAATTGCGTAGAGGTAGCAAACCTTTTAGAAAACTGTTCCTTTTGGGTTTTCACCAGGCTGCTGTAGTGTGAATCTGGCAGCTTTGAGCCTCACCATGGCTGTCAATACGTTAAGAGCAGCTGCGTACGTGTGTACCACAGTAAGAGCAGGGGAATGGAAGTCACTGGCTGTCTGGCCGAGGAGCAGGAGTCCCTTCATCTTTTAGCACCAAGCCCTGTGGCACTTCTGCAGTGGTTTTACATCCGAGAGCCGGGGCAGCGGAGCAGAGCGCGTTGTCTTCTGCAGGATCCCAAGACCAACGTGATGGGCCCAGGCCGAGCACCCTGTCCTGTCATGGCCATTGAATGAGAGGGGCGAGCTGTCCCCTGCCACATCCAGGCCACCAGATTGTCCTCTGAGGAACATACCTGCTCCCCACATGGTGGGGTAGTGGCAGCAAGGCTGCTTTGTGGCCCTCAGACCACAGCTGTACCCAGGGGTACAAGGTATAACAGGGAAGAAATGTTTCTCCTCACAACACTGCACAATCACAAGGGCTCTTTTAGCTTTAACGCCGTGTGTTTGAGAGGTCTGCTTGGCAAGCAGCTGAACAGCCCCGTGGCCTGTGTGAAGGAGCAGCATATTTAGGAGAAAATATATGGCTCTTTGTTAATAAATAACAAAGTATAGGGGAAGTTCTGTGTAGGGGGCCGCGGCAGGACCAGGCTGAGTGTGTGCAGAGTCGAGGGCTCTGTTCCAAGAGAAGGGAGCTTTTGTGTGGCGCAGTGTTACAGGGGTGTAACAACATGTGTAAGGTCCTGGATAAAAGCTGATGGGCCTGGGGGCCGCTGAGCTCACTTTTCTGGAGAATGGCAGAGGTGTGCCCATTTCTAGGGGCTGCCAGAGCCTGGGCTCTGCAGATACGCTGTGTGAAAAGGCTGAGAGCAAGGTAAACCCCTGCCATGTTCCTAGGCACATATCATGTTTTGCTTTGTGGCCACTGGGAAATTGTTTTTGGGGTCATCCCAGAATGCAGGACCCATGGGCCTGCCTAGGAATTGCTGAGAAACATCCACCAGGCCTCCCTTGCCCTCCTTCCATTACTGGGGCCTATCCCCAGCACAAAATTTCCCTCAAGAGCTTTCCCTACTGACTATGTTATCACACAAATATTTCACGTCTCATTCAGTTTCAGGTTCCTTGACAGGCATCAGAATAACCTCGTGATGCTGCAGTGAGGTAGAGATTTAGATTTCGATCTACTTTATTGGGAAGAAATAACACTAAGAAGTCAGGTCCTAAGCATTCAAATGCACATGTTTGATGACAGATGCTTAAATCAATGCTTAAACACCCAAATGTGTTGCCTGGCCCTGATCCTTGAAAGCTGTTAAGCACTTGTAATTCTATTAATTTAATGCCAGTTTAACAGGCAGGCATCTTCTGCTACCACCCCCTTCACTGAAGAGACAGAAGTGCAGAATTGTTACTGAAAACCTCTGATTTCATCCTGGTTAAGTCCTGCAGCAGATGATAAAGATGTAATGTTGCACTTCCCAGAACCATGACTCAGTCTTCAGCACTCACGAGGGCATTGTAAGGTCTTTTAAAATTACTATTTGGATGCTCATTACTTGTTTTCTGGCTGAGGGTTCAAACTGTCAAGATTTCCACAAGCTCATCACCACAACAGCTAAAAAATTCCCTGAAGCTCATCCTTTTGTGTTAACCCATGACTCCAGAAACTGGGACTTGATGAAAACACACTAAATATAATGAAACTTGGGATGAAAAGAGCACAATCGGCATCTTGGAGAGTTTTGTATAGACGCTAACAGTTATAAGCCTGGTTTTCCTTGGAGAAATGATGGGCTACAAGTGGCACCTTCTTGTTTGGATGACTTTTGCCAGGAATCCCACAGAGTCAGCACAGCAGAGGGAGGGTGAGGTTGCTTCTCACCCTCCTTGTGCCTTGTCAACAATAAAAGTGCGCAAACACAGACTGCAATTTTTTGTTTAATTGAGTGAGATGATTTGAGAGAACCAGCTGTTACTTTTCTCCCCAGGGAAGCTTTTGGGCTGACATAACCCAGCAGCAGGGAAGTGGATGGTTGTGGCAGGGGGATGGTAAGGCAGGGCAGGCGTTGGGTCTAACGCCTTCCCAAACCGAATTGCAAGTCTGTCACTATCAAGTCTTGAAGGGAATGGCTCAGAAGGCAGTTGACATAGGTTAAGGACTCTAAGAGCAGCAGAAGTACCGTGGCAGCACACATCAGAGCAGGGATGCTGTGGCAGCCACCCCATTTGTAGGAGTTCAATCCAGTGTCACCGTGGGGGCCGTGTTCTTGCTCCTCCTTGCACTCGTATCGCACCCCTCAAGGCTCACTGGTGGCAATGAATGGACCTTTATCAGCCTGAAATGAAAGCGTGGCTGTGCTAGTAACCACACAGCTTGGCCCTGGGTAAGCCCTTGGTGGTTGGTAATGAAATTCAGGGAATTCCAGACACAAGTGCTTCTTCATTTCCCTCTGCTTTTATCTGAATGACCGGAGTAATTTGTGCAGAGGAATGGAAGATCTTGAAGGCCATGCCAGATAGCTCGCTGCACAGCACAGCCTCCCAGATGCTCGCAGCCTGCAGGTCACTTTGCAAGCTTTTCACTTCCCCTGGCAGGGAATCGAGAGATAGGAGCATACCAGAGGGAAGGGGTGCCGTTCCCGATGTGTTCGTCTGTCGCTGTGTGCGAGTGTAGCGATAAGGTGCATCTGGCACGAAGTCTCCCTGTGTTTCCTCCGTGCTTGCTGACATGGGGAGCTACTGTGCTGCTCTGTGCTATGGCTCATTGCCCCTGCGACTGAAAGAATTCAATTCATTTCATCTTTCAATGGCATTGCCATGTAGGGGAAGGAATTACTTTCTTTTTGTTGTTTGAAAGACTAGTGTGCCTGCAATCTTATGCAGTCTGTGATTAAGAAGAGTAGCTGTGGGCTGTGCCTATATACAGCTGCAGAAGCACCTTGGAACAACCTAACACCCATGAGCTGCTGCAAAATTCAGTATGGTCCTGTATCACCACTGAGAATTTTTGGAGATAACATTTTTTGGGGTGAAAAGCACTGGTTTATCATAACTGAAACTTTGAGGAAAAGTTTGATTTCAGTCACTCATCAGGTCCATTGAAAAAAATAAAAAATCCAACAACTGACAGCCCCACTGCTATTATCATCTGTTTCACAACTGTGCCTGGGGGACTTAGTCTTGGATCAGGACGGACTAATTGTTGTACGAATGAAGAATGGTAGGAATAAAATGGGCTCTCACCCAGGGAGGTTGTGATTGCAGTTCATTTTCTTCAGATGAAAAGCATAATTTTCTGATTTGAAATAGTTTGGTTTTGATCTGTGATTTAGGTTACTTTTTACCAAAAAGCCAAATTTACCAAATCTGTTTACTGAAAGGTTAAAAACAAATAGAAACTGCCAGGACTGAAATGAAACACTCCCAAACCTCTGCTACATAACATTTGATCAGATAGGAACATGTTCTTAGATTAGTATTTTGAGAAAACCCTGAGTTTCTTACTTCTCATCGTTACTTGTTACCCCTTTTTGGAGAAAAAATTTCCTTTTGAAATTGCAGAGAAATCTCCAGGGCCTGGAAAGCCATTTCCCCCTTGCGACCGCGGCGATTAGCCCATTGTTAGGAGGGGTGGTGGCAGGGTGTGGGAGTTTTTCCCAGTGTGTTTTCTAATCCCGCTCTAAGCAGAGTTATATGATCCACTATGGAAAAACAGCTGAGTACAGTCTTGCATTAGAGCACTGCTGATGCTGCTACTGGCTGAACAGCACTTTTTTTTTTTTTTTTTTTTTTTAAGTATGGGGCCAGTTTTTGCAGTGCGGACAAGACCATAATAATTCTCTGAGTGTGGGAAGATGTCGTGCTGCTGCAGTTTGTAGGCTCTGCATGTGGCAGCACAGCTGTACATTTCAACATACAAAAACCCCGTGGCTGTGGAGCAGCATCGTATGTCTCATTCATGCAATGCAATCCCAATTCCACTTCATCAAATACATAGCAATACACGTGCATGTATTTTGTGTATGTGGATGATGTTGTGTCCTGATCTTCAGGAGCTGTCTGATAAAATGCATGTGTTTTCACATGTAGGTTGTGTGTATAGGTGTATGTGCTTTATATGTGCAGTTCATGTGTGTATATATATATATATATATATATATACAGAAGAACTAACTATAAGCAGCTAAATTTTACCCCAAAATCTTTCTTTTTGATTTAGAAAAATAGATTTCAAACTTTTTAATGTCTTTGGTCATTTGCTGCGATACTAAACACACCCTTTTCCCTTGCCCTTTCCCCCTCCCCTCCATTCCCAGCGAGTTACCCTTATTTTCAGGGCAGCAGCAGCTTGTCAGGCTCGCAGTACTTGGGGGGCTTAGCGGGGGGATTAGCAGGAGCGCCTGGCCAGGCTGTGCAATGGTGTTTTGCCACATGGGTCAACGTGCTTGAGCAGTAACACCAAAGGTGTGTCAGCAGCAGCCGTGAGTCCCCAAACTGAGCTGAACCCCCTTACACTCCATGAGAGGACGATTTACCCTGGCACAGCAGGGAGATGCACAGTCTCTGTGTGGACACGTTTCCTTCCCTGCTGTCAGCGGTGCGAGTTCTGTGACTACTGAACCCTCCCTAAAATACATATAAATAGGAAAATGGGATTAGCTCTTGGCATATTTTAGAGCTACTGAAAGTTTTCTACCTTACACAGCTTCTTCCTTTTTGCTCATCTCTGAAGGCTTCGTGTTCTCCTTTCGCTCTTTCCCATTCCCTTTGCCTCCAAGGCAAAAGCAGGGCTGTACCTGGAGTGTCAGCCTCTTCCTCCTGCTGGTAGGTGATTATCTGCCTGAGGGGTTTCATTGACATCACAGAGGATTAGGTGTGTGAACAACTGCTTCCTAGTGAAAGAAAGGTTTGTCCTCCAGTCCTGCAAGAAAAAGAAGGAAAAAAAAAGCAGATTCATATTGTTTTAAAACAGTCACTCCCAAGAAATCCCTTTCACTTGTATAATTTCTCCTCCTGGGACACAATTCTGCAATATCTGTCCTCTTCCTTTAAGTGGTTACATATTGAAAATGTAATATCCTGCCAGAAGAGGCTTGATTGTTCTACTTAGGCTAAATGGACTGAAAAAAAAAAAAAAAAGAGAAAGAAGCATTGCAGGATCGGTGTTTTTGGTTAATTGTTCTGCAGAGAGGCTTTTGCCAACTCTGGTTTTGGGCCAGATAGAAAGCTTTTGCTGCACAGTTGTGTTTCTTTCCACACTTATGCACTGGGGGGATGTTTGCTGCAATGCTGACAGGACTGGCTCTCTCCAGAGATGTGTCACTGGGAATCAGAAGAAACACCACTGTCGTTTTAAGAGGAGAGCAGATGTAAAACTTGTGGGAGAAAAAAAAAAACAAAAAACACAACAATTGAATGTGCATTGAGAGGTCTTTTGGTCATGTCTAGGTAAGCACAGCCACATGCTGAACTCTTCGTGCTGAGATAGCCTGAGTCCTTGCTGCAACCCCTGGTGTTGCAGTTGATATTTGGTGCATCCCCTCATGACTTTGTGTCATGTCGCTGTGCCCCTAGCACATTAAAAGGATGGATTTTCCCTGCCTCACCATTATCTGCCCCGATGCTACTCCACAAATCAGCGGTTTCCTTTTCCTTCCTCCACAGAAGCCTCTCGCTGCCACTTTCTTGGCCACCAATTAGCAAAATACTTGAAAACCCCAGGGCTTGCTGAGCTCCTCATGCATGGCAGAGCTCTCACGGGAAGGGAACATGTGCTGGAGTGGAGGTAACATCTTTGGGTTGTCACAGGTAGAGCGCTGGGGATCCAAACTCACAGGAGAGCCTTGGGCAAGTTGTTCTGTCTCTGCACCCTGGTCTGCGTTATAGTTGTTGCACCACTAATGTGAAACGGGGCAGAGATGCCAGCAGGGATCCTGGCAGTAGTCGCTGTGGTCCTGTGTTTGATGTAGGTAGACACATTTTCTTCTCTGTGAGTTGTGTGCAATGACAGGTCAAAGCATTTTGAAGCCTTTAATTCACCGAGCATCCTGTGTCATCCTCACGTTCACAGGCAGCTGTGCAAAGTGTTGTTAGCACTCATCATTGTATTCCTGAAGGGAATAGCATGCAAGAGCATCTTCTGGAGAGTTTCCTATGCACAGATGCAGAATGAAACTGTTCATCTTCAGTGGTATGCCATTTTCTTCTCTAAATTCTGGTTTTTGGATAGTTTAAGCCAGAACATTTTACAGTTTTGCCTTAACTTTTACATATAAACCACTGGAGCGCTATACCTCCTCTGTGCTGGATGTGCTCCAGTCTAAACAAACTCCATTCCGCCCGCCTAAATTCCCTTCTATAGTTTCAGCTGAGAGTGAAATTCCTTTCTGCTCCTCCGTCCAAGCTGCCGTGTGCCATCACTCGGGGCCGCGAGGCAGCTCGTGGGTTCCTCCCTGGCAGGGGCAGCATCTTGGGAGTGTGTGGAGCGGGGTCCACATAATCCTCTGGGATCCCCTGGGATAAAAAACCACTCGGTAAACACTGTATCATTTCCATTGTCAGTCGGGATTCAGGAGGGAAGTGATCCCACTTAGTTAAAGCGGGATGAAGCATCTATTTTCATATTTGTTTAATTGAACCACTCAGCGTGTCTGATAGTAATGGCTTTACTTGAAGCATGTGGTTCTTATGAGCTGTTAAGATACCAATAGCATGTGGATTAGTCTTTCTGCCAAGAAAGCCAGGTCAATTCTTCAGGAAAATAAAAAAAAAACTAAGGCAAACTTTATTTTAACAGTGTCTTGAGTTTCACTTTAGGTTCCATAAATATTTGTCAGTGTTCCTTTTGTAAGACCCATGCGAGCCCTTGGCAAGACACGAGGTCTATCTCCAGAACACAGAATATAAATAAATTTCCCAAACCGTGCTGGAGAATTGGAGGTAACTTTAGCCCATACGAGAGACCTGAAGCCAAGCAATGGGTTGCTCGTGGTTCTTGAATTACTATTTGTGTAGAGGAGAGGGAATGGAGGGGAAAAAAAAAAGAAGGAAAAACAGAGAGAGAGGAAAATAAAAACATTTGTAGAATATATGTGGGAGCCCACACCATCCTGTGCAGAAAGGTAGAGGTCATTTACCAAGGCAATGACAGAAATGTGACTTCTGCTTGGACTCCTGTTGCTCTTTGCTCCTAACACTTCCAGAAAAGTTAGCAATATTTTCTCGTGCCCTAGAGGATAAGGGAGGAAATTTCACATTCTCAATGAGGACTGGTATTGCCATCTATTTCAGAGGATGGGGGCAAAAAAGCACTGTGGAACCATGCCATGTGCCCCTTTTCCCCCCCAGTTTCCTCTGAATACCTTTGATATTCTTGAGAACTTGGTTTACTTTTGTGGTTTTCAGAGCTATATCTAAGAAAAAAAAAAAAAGCCCATGATGATTTCAAAGATTTGCCTATAGTTAAGTACTTAACCAGAGGTTTAGGGTACCTTTTGATTTAAGAGCAAGCCCTGTTCTGTGCAGTTATAGGGGGGAAATAGCTGAAATTTTATCCTGTCCCTGACCACAGATTGAGATTACCAAAGCAGCACAAAAGCAGGGAGTCAGAAAGAAGGAGGTGTATTGAAGGAAGCGGGACCTTGGCTTCTAGCAATGTGCTCTGGTTGCTGGATCAGCTCCAATAAAAATTTAAATTCAGACGAGCTGAATGCCTTATTTGTCTGGTTAAGGGGGAGGAAGGTGGGGATGGGTGAAGTTTTTCCTCTACCTCTGAAAGTTAAAATAATGGTAGTAGGATGAGAGAAGTACATATTCCTGAACGTACTATTGTAACATCAGCTTTTTTTTTTCTTCTTCTTTATGTGCGTAAGCTGAAAAATTACAAAGTGTGGATGAATAGAGACATGAGAGGGGTTTGCTGGAGGAGAACCCTTTTTTGTAGGGAGTTGCGAGCCTACCTGTCCAGAAATTTAGAATATCCTACAAAATGCTGGACATCTTTGATCTCCCTTTAAATTAATGGCAATTGAGAATTACCCACACTTCACAGGATCAGACTGTCTCTTTCTCACAGAATTTCCAACAGTGATCAATGATCTCCATGCCAGCCCTTAGTTGTCTGCAAGTGCTAAAGGGAAAATATAAAAGAGCTGGGAGCTGTTAACCCCGTGTTTTCTGCTTTCACAGACAGCTGTTTGGGGCCCCTTAGCAGCTGATA